TTCTGGGTTGCCGAATCTCTCTTCTAATTCCTTCCAGGCTTCTATGTAGGCAGTGCTGGCATCTCGAACATATCTTAGACGGAATCTGTCTACTAATGTTTTCGATTCTCCCTTTGTATATCTGGCTAGGAATAACAATTTCTCTGATGTGGGTACACAAGCTGTTTGCACCATGCATTCAAATGACCGGCGCCAGGGTAAAAACATGACTGGGTCCCCTTCATATATCTCTGGCTCCTGTACAGGTAAACGTTGACGGGCTAGAAGACGAATGTAGTGGTTAGGATCTGCTTGAGTTTGATCGTTAACCTCGGTTGACGGGTTGGTTTGATAGTCTGGGGCTGTCACTTCCGTTTTAATTTGCTCAGAATGTGGCTTGATGTGAGTTAGATTGTGTGGAACACCCAAGGTGGGTTCTTGTTCTGAATAATGTTGAGCCTGTGAACCTGCATTGTGTTCAGTACGGTCACGAAAACGTTGTGCATGATCGTTTGCCGACTGTAGTGGTGAAGTGTACATTTGTCGACAGTTGTTCCGAGGTCCAAGTGCATTAGTACTCGTACTGGTGTCAACCACTTCCCAAATAACTCTTACACAGTTGCGTTAGGGTAACCAGTTTAGTCTAGTGTTCTTTTAGAAGGACTTTATGTAGCGATCTTCAGTCGTACAAAACGCGATTGGCGTACGCGTATGAGACTCTAGCTCATAATAGTTATAGCGAACTCTGACCTACGCTTAACGTAACGCCCGCGCCTAAAGAGGGCGGTATACTGTTAAAAGTGAAAGGGCGTCCAGCACAAGTCTGTTAAAGCGCGGTAGTCGTCGCGCTGCGCATGTTCGACATTTGTGTTGATAAACATTGATTTTCTCACAATCCAACGCGCTCTTCAAATGGAAATCACAAGTATGAGGTTTGACCTGGGCGCGACTTGCACTAATTACCGCCGGTGACTCTTTCGATACCTTCCAATCACATGAAAATTACCTAATTAAAACTTGGAAACGTGTCAGTTCGTACTCGTTGATCTGCGCAACAGTCAAAGTCGCCATCTTTGTTTATACGAGACCCATATATCTCGCACATGCGCATCGCGACGACTACCGCGCTTTAACTGTTACAATTTGGGCACGGTTTCACAAAAGTGGGCGGGGTTTCAAATATATGGGCGTGGTCATTTCTGTAACCTGATGTTTTTGTAACTCGATTTTCGTAACTCGAACAATACAGCATCTCGTCTGCGTGTACTAGAGATGCTGAATTGTCTTGCGTGGCATCTGCATGCCCGCACAACTCACCCTTAGATATGCTTCTGAGGTCAAGGTACCCGTACATACCTCGACTGTTCTACCTTCACCCGGGTACTTTCCTCTCGAATTTAACTGATTTACGTCAGTAATTTGTCAAGAGAACACAATACGCGGCATTATCCATGAAATAATTAGTTTGCTAGGTTTGCTTTTATCGTTTGACTGTCTTATTGGGAAGAAAACTGATTTTGCAGCGATTTCGCCATTACGCCGGCAGTTCTAAGGAATCTTAAAGTCATGGGCTTTGCCGTAATACGTTACCGCTTTGTTTAATTTTGTTACGTATGTGTGTTAGTATATATTATGTGCAGTGTATTTGTTGTGTTCTAATGCGATTTTTATAACAATTGTTCCTGACTGACAGGCTGAAAGTGTTATTATTTGTTTGTTCTGTAATCCCAATTTTCTCTTTCATCTTTCCTCTTACAGATTGTGACCCTTTGCTGTGCTGTGAAAATGAAGTCTATTGTTCTATTTTTTCTTTTAGGTATGTACATAATTTGAAATATCTAAATAATCATAATTTACTAACACAGATATATTCCCTTCATTTACATTATCACGGAGCACCTGAAACCATTGTCATTGCGTCAAAGACTACCCTTGTATCTCTTCATACTCCTGGCATATGAAACAGAATATGACATAGTTTTCACATTAAACACATCGTTTCCTATAGTCCGAGTAGTATTAATTTATCGTTATATGAGATTGGAAAAGCTAGTCATTCCTAAATATATCAGCTTACTACAGTTGGTTGTTTAGACGTATATATTTCCAAGACATGCAGATTTAAAATGAAGTCTAGACATTTACTCTATAGTTAAAATGTAAAAATGCATTTACGAATGGGGGATTCCTCAGTGAGAACGTTACATTGCAATCGACATTATTTAATATTCAACTACAATGTACGTGAAATTACTCCATCCAAATAATTCATTGTTCTCTGTAGTGGAAACAATGATTATTTATTTATTTATTTATTTATTTATTTATTTATTTATTTATTTATTTATTTATTTATTTATTTATTTATTTATTTATTTATTTATTTATTTACATTCTCAGGCATTGTATGCCAGTCATACGCATTGGAGTGTTACAGTTGTTCAAGTGCAACGACTTCAACTTGTAAGTCAGATTACACTACGGCAAGTAAGGAAACCTGTGCCGGTGTGCTCTTCACGGACCCCGTGTGTCAGGTCAGCAATTTCATGTATTTCATGTATATTCATCTGTCATTGAAAGTATCAAGTTTAGAAATAATGTCAAATTGTTTTTACAGGTAAGCAGAACAGATGGGGATGTGAACTTATTAATTCGGTCTTGTAACATCAAATCAGTTTGTGACCAGGCCGATGGATGCATCACTGCTGAAGGTTAGTAACGGTTACCAACACCGTATGGTATGGTATGGTCACGAA